GGGGGGGGTGCTGTCTATCCTGGAATACACAATCGGCGGACCGTAGCCTGAATCCAGACAGAAACACAGTTTAATCCAGACCCCCTCTTAGACTCCCCCGGTCGGCAGTTGACCCCCCCACCCCTCTCCCCTTTTGGCTTTGAGTCACTGATGGAATTTGGCCCTGTGGGAGAGTAACTGAGCCCCCCTGATCTGGAAGGTTTATTGGTGGTGTGTGAATAGGGCTGCCACCTCTCCCGGTTTCCCTGGGATTTATACTTTTTTTTTTTTTTTTTTTGAGCAAAATAAATTTTCTTTCCCGGGATACAAACTGTCCCTGTTTTTTTGTGAAAATTTATTTATAATTTATAAATTTATAATGTCGTAGTTTCAAATAAAACCTCACTTGGTTTCCTTCTACCGCTATTCTTTTTTCTTCCTGGTCAAAAACAGTTAAAAATGTGTAAAACACAGCAAAGATTGGCCATGTCTATACTGTTATTTGATTGGTAGCACAAATACGAAAGCTTACCTTATTAACTGCGTGGGCTGTCGGTCTCCCGCACGCATCCATATCCACGACCTCACCGTGACTCAAACTGCTATATATAGGTAACATTAGTTGTAAAAAAAGAATCTATTTACGTTGTCGGTTTTGTGGAATGGGGGAGTGACGGGCGAGGAGGACGATAAAACAATACTGGACGAGCCACCAGCATCAAAGAAAAAACGATTTACAACATACAACTCAGAGGGCAAAAAGAACATTTCCGAGTGGATAAGGCACAACCAAAGAGACTTGGGGGATGTGGCACAAAGCAGAATTTCCCAGTTAGCTGGATAACTTGAGCCAAATGTAAAAACTCTCCAATAGGAGGAGAGGTAAGCTCTCTTGAAGTGCAGCTTATCCACACTTTAGCAAATACCGCATGGTAGTGGTCTGTGGTTCAGTATATAGAGCACAATGTACCGCATCAGTGCAGACTAATGTTCACATGGAGCATGAGGAAGTCGGAGTATCAGAGAGTAACATGCCTCCTAAGAAGTTTCACTTCAAGTGCACACAGTTGTCATACCGACTCTGTAGAACAAAACTGATACAGTTACAAAACTATATTAGACAGTGTGACATGTATTACTTTGCTGAAACTATGGTTTGATTGTAAAGTATAAAGTTTTGGCCTAAAATACACTGACTACCATTCAGTGATCATATGACTATAATTCCCAGGTTGCACAGTACAGTCTGTACACTGTAATTCATTTTGAAAGATGAGCTGTGCTGTTAATTATGTTGAAATTGTTTATGTTGATATTATATATCAGTACTGTTACTGGGGTGTAGATTGTGTATGTCTGTCTTAATGTGATTACTTTTCCAGGCTGAACAGCTGTAAGCTCACAGATGGATGCTGTGAGGCACTGGCTTCAGCTCTCAGATCAAACTCCTCACCCCTGAGAGAGCTGGACCTGAGTGACAATTACCTAGGTAATTCAGGACTGAAGCTGCTCTTTGCTGGACTGGAGGATCCCAGCTGTAAATTGGAGAAGCTGAAGTGAGTACAGAATATCCATTTTACAAAAACTAAACTGGGCATCAAGAAATCCCAGAATGCATTTCAGCAGTGACATAATAATCAAACAGCTTATTTTTTCTTGTCCTACTTCCTTATATCCCACAAACGTATCAGCACTCAGTCCAGGTTAGAAACAAACAAGTAGTGAAACAGGAAACAGCCATTCATTCTTAATACATGCAAATGATTAGTGTTGGTTAGTTTAATAGGATTTTAAAAAGAAACTGACGGTAACATTGAAATTAAACATCCTGACTTTAACATGTAAAAATATATTGGGCACCAGTGAAAACCAGGATGACTTAGAATGTTTCTTAGTGAATTCAGTGTTTTAAAAAAATCTCTTCCATCATCAGCTCTATTCTCCTCATTTGCATTTTCTATACGGTGTACCAGTGTAAAAAGTTTTATGAGTGTTTAATTTTCCTAAGGTTGGGCACCTATGATCTCTCAGAGGAATCCTGTAAGGCGCTGGCTTCAGCTCTCAGATCAAACTCCTCACCCCTGAGAGAGCTGGACCTGAGTAACAATATGCTGTTCGATTCAGGAGTGATACTGCTCTCTGCTGGACTGGTCGATCCCAGCTGTAAACTGGAGAAGCTGAAGTGAGTTCAGAATATCCATTTTACAAAAACTAAACTGGGCATCAAGAAATCCCAGAATGCATTTCAGCAGTGACATAATAATCAAACACAAACAGCTTATTTTTCTTGTCCTACTTCCTTATATCCCACAAACTTATCAGCACTCAGTCCAGGTTAGAAACAAGAAAGCAGTGAAACAGGAAACAGCCATTCATTCTTAATACATGCAAAAAAAGTTTGTTTGTTAGTTAATAGGATTTTTTTTTTTTTAAATGACGGTAAAATTGCAATTAAACATCCTGACTTTTATATGTAAAAATATATTGGGCACCAGTGAAAACCAGGATGATTGTTAGAATGTTTCTTAGTAAATTCAGAGTTTTAAAAAAATCTGTTCTGTTATGACCTGTGTTCTTCTCAGTTGCATTTAATATACAGTGCACCAG